AAATAAATAAAATTATATAAAAAAAAAAAAAGAGGCGGAGGCAGGAGTCCCTGAGCAGAGAAGGAGCAGCAGACCCAGATGATCCTGGGCCAGAACAGAGTCTGGGCTCAAGACCAGAGCTGCGGGAAGGGTTGAGGCCAAGAGCCTGGAGCCCTCTGGAGCCTTACATTGTGTGCCGCCAAGCTAAAGCAGCCTCTTGAAGTCACAGGCGAGTGGCAGGCGGAACGCACTCTGCCTCCTCAAGACCAGGAGGCGAATCTGTGCTGTCTCCACAATTGCTCTCGGCCCTACACAAGAGACCAAACACCGCACGACGGCCTGTAACGAAGAGACTTCGCTCAGACCACCAGAGCCAGGGGCTTTCCGGAGACCACTGACTCGCACTTCGAAATCCCTCCTTTAGTGGGCCGAACGTCTAGCGGTCCCCAGACACCTCTCTGCCCTGCCCCCACAGGGACAGCTCCCCGCAGCGCCCCCCGCCCCTCCCGGGCGGGAACCAAACACCGCGAGACCGCGAGAGGCGCGCGGAGAGAGGAGGTAAGCGCGCGCCCGGGGCTGGGGGGGTGGGGACGGGAGTGGGTCTGGCTGGGGAGGGCAGGCGCACCAGAGGTGCGCGGGGGAGGACAGGGAGAAATGGAACACGAACGCGCGGTGAGAGGCAGTGACGTGCAGGGACGAGGTGGGGGCCACGAGGAGGCGCCGGGGAGCGTGAGGCGGGGGCGGCGGGGAGGGGCGTGAAGAGGGGGCGCGCGGGCGCGCGGAGTGGGCTGTCGCGAGGTGGCGCCGAGAGCCGCGGCCACCCCTTCCCCACCCGTCGGGTGTCGGACGCTTCTCCCCTGTGGCCTAGAGACAGAGAAGAGCCCTCGAGTCTCACCTCCGAACCAGGAAGGACGAGCTCGCGTTATCCCGGAGAAGCCGGGGGAGGCGTCAGGCTGGAAGCTGCTTCCGGTCCTCTCGGCGGGGTGGGGGCGGGGCCGGGGGGAGCGGGAGCAGTTGCTGTGGAGACGAGGCGCCGCCGCCTCGGGTTTTCTGGGAGGCCGCTCCGGAGCTAGGAGAAGGAGAGAACCCCCATGAGTGGGAATCCAGCTGCTGGGCATCCCGGTTCGAATAAACAAGATTGTTATTTCTCAAAGTACTTTTACTTACCTTATTTCATTTATTCTTTCAATAACCCAGTAAGGTTATTCTCATTTTACAGAAAATAAATCCAAAGGTTCCGTGACTTGCTCAAAGATCATAGAGAGGGGAGATTCCTGTGCTTTCTACTGCTAAGGACAACTTTTCCTCTAATACCATTCGCGCTACTGAAGTGGATTATGCTTCAGGCGTTGCCATTTGAAGGAACAGGTATAAACGCCCCCTCCCCCCATGCTTTTATAAGAGAACCTAATGGCCCTTGAAAAGGTGAGAACCTGCTCACATACACATTTTAGCACCAATATATACGTGTATATATCCTTAGATAATCTTAAGTAAATTTAAAAATAAATATGGGGCTAAATGGGTTACAAGGCCACAGCCCCATACGTTGGCTTCCTCCTCCACCCACTTTCCCTAGGGATTATTGGAAAATGTACTTGTAGAGGGAAGTGGGAAATCAGACAGGGAGAGGACAGAGATGCTTGAAAACCACTTGCTAATTAATAAACAACTAAAACGAGAAAAACCCCTTTTGATATGACCAAAAAAAAAAGATGTTTGTACTGGAGTCTGAAGTGATGAAAGAAAGGCTGGTTTATTCAGTCTATACTACATCTAGAAGGTTAGGGGAGAAACTTTCATCCTAATTAACATACAATGACATTAAATTTGAAGAAATTCTTGCTTCAACAGGGATATGATTTTTTGCTGAGGCAACTGCTAACACAAATAGCAAGACAACCCAAAAGTGCAGAAGGGAATATGTTTATGGTAATGGTGGGGAGGTTAAATGACTCAAGGCAATGGGGAATCTGAAACAATTCCTCAAGGGCAGTGCCTGGCAATGGTGTGAAGTCATAGAAGGTGGTTTAAGTGGAAAATAGACAAAAGTTGAAAGCTGAAAGGAGAATAAGGAACTGTGAAAAACCACAGGATTTGGCAGGTCAGGGGTGAATTCATGGGTTTTGGATTCCACCAAATAGCCAGATCCTAGAAGCTAAAGTTAAAAAAAAAAGGAGCAAATGTAAAAGATTGCTTATAAAGTTTCACAGTAAGCTAGATAAAGGACAGGTTTTTGTTTTTGCTTTTTATTTTTTTAATGTTTGGGGGTGGGGTGGAAAGAAATTAGCAGAAACAAGGTCCCAGTAGAGCGAGCAACTCCTATATATCAGAGGCATGGTAAACGTGGGGAATTCAAATGTAAGATACAGATTCTTGCTCTTTAGGAACTGACTAATTAAGGGGAAGGGTGTATAAATTGACTGTTCCAAACAACGTGGCAGATGTTCTGATGGCGCTATTTACAGGATGGTATAAAAACACAAAGAAAGGGAGGTGTTGGGGAGGGGGTAGATAGACTGACATTGGAGTTGATGGGGAAAGCTGAGTGTTGTTGATGCATTCCAGACTGAGGGACCAGTGTGGAATGTTTAGATTTGCAGGATTGAAGGATGGCAGGCCATGAGTGGCTGAGGATGAGGATGAAGAGGTAAGCAGGGGCCTAGTTTTAAAAGATTTGGCAGGCCAGGCAAAAGGCAATGAACTAAAAATTTAAGCAGAGTCTTGAGAGAGTGGCACAAGCATGTCTGCAATTCAGAGAGAGCTCTCTGATGGCAGTATGAAGGATGGATTTGAAGGGAGACAGAACTCAAGGCAGAGTGACCAGCTCTGAAGCTGTTGCAAGGATCCAGGCTGCAGCTAATGGAGGTCTGAACTGGTGCAGAGGGGGCAAAGATGGAGGCAGATTCAGGA